TCCTTCCTTCCTTCCTTCCTTCCTTCCTTCCTTCCTTCCTTCTTTTTTGGATCAACCTGACTGCGTTCCACACACAAGCACACGGTCTGTGGTTCTGTCAGGGTTGGGGCGGAAGCTGCTGCCGCCTCTGCTCAGGGATGTCTCTAACAGAACACCGGAGTCACGGAGTTCAGATCAACGCCTGTCGCTTTAAGAAGCCCGCCTGTCTGCCTGTGTGTCTGTGTTTTCAGTACAACAGTCCAAAACATCCCCCCCCCCCCTTTTTCTGCGCCGCAACTAGAGCGTTACTTTTGAATATTCCACTTTCAATCTGGAGGCCAGACAGCCAGATAACATACCCTTCAAAATGTTGTTATTCATTGTTTTGGAGAGCTTGTTACTTTTGTTGGCAGCCCACGAGTTGGCCTTTGATTGAAGTGATTTATCAAAAGTTTGAACTAAGAGGCACAGAGAGCGTAAACGACTGTTTGAGCAGCACCAGCGGGAGTTTTCAGGTCTTTATACTAAGTGACATTTTGAGGACAGCTTTGTTTCTAGAGGAAGAAAGTGGGGGCACAGTTTGGGTAACCTTGTGTCCTGGAAAGAAGATTATAAAAAAAAGAGTTGAATCACTGATTTGATTGCTCCTACATGCTCTCATTGATCTTGCTTTCATCTGATTTAAGGCCTTTTTTTATAAGAAAAATTTGATCCAACTTTCTTTTTTTCCCTTCAATGATAAATCAGTGGCAATTTTTCCCAAAAACTTTTTTTAATTGCCTAAGCAGATCTTTGTGGTTGGAACGTTAAAGGCTTTAGGTGGAATAAAGAGAGTGAACTGTCTGCGCAGCGTGCACCYGACTTCCTCATCGTACGAGACGTGCCCCTTGTGAGCAGATTTCCTGAAAGGCAGTATCAAGRCCTAATGGCACCGGGAGTTAGCATGGGTACGTGAGTCCTTGCATGTTTGCAGGGGCAGGACGTCACGGTCTGAGCTGAGAGACGGAAACAGCCTGTTGGGAACTGCAGCTGGTGCTTTAGCCTTGCTGTTCTGGTTGTTTGTGCCTGCTGCCTCTGTATAACAGCAGGACGGTATAGTCTGATGTTCTGTTTAGTCGTTTATGTATTTATGGTCAGATTTCAAATTAATAAGAGGGATTCTCCGTCAGAAACATGAGCAAAATCACAAAGTAGATTTCTGTGTGTCTTGAGTTTTAGCACAAAATTCATTCAGCTTTAAAAAAAAACTAGAGAAGCAACACGGCAGAGTCAGTTTGTATATTTGTCACATCTGCTTCATAACAGAACAAAAGATGATAGGAATGAGTGGAGAAACTAAATACTTAAAAAATGAATTCCACTGAACAGACTCAGCCTTGTTCTGAATCTCCCATGTCAGCTGTGGTCATGATGAACGTCACGCCAAAACGCTGCCCGGCGTTCCTGCTTCAAGCACGTCGGCTCTGTTTGTTCTGTTTCTGATAACTCAAAACAAACTGCTTAATTGTTCTCTCCTTTCAAAGGCAAACTGAGAAAGTGCTTTGCGATACATCAGATTCAGACACTAATCGCTGAGCTGATTCATTAGAAAGTAAATGATCTAATCTCTGGCCATTTGTGTGTGTGCTTGTGCGTGGCTGTGTGCGTGTGCAGGTTGATGTGTGAACCATGTGAGGGTCCCTGTCCCAAAGAGTGTAAAGGAGACAAGACGATCGACTCGGTGACCTCAGCCCAGGCTTTAAGAGGCTGCACTATTATTGAGGGCAACATGATCATCAAGATTCGAGGAGGAAGTAAGTATTATTACCCATAAACCCCTGCTGTGAAGGCTTCAGGGTCTGTGTTTTAGTGTTTGCACCTTTTAGCTTTTATTTATTGTTTTTAACTTTCAGCTAACATAGCTTCTGAGTTGGAGGCTAGTTTGGGACAGATTGAGATAATCAAAGGTTACCTGAGCGTTCGCAGAGCCTACGCCTTGGTCTCCCTCTCTTTCTTACGAAAACTGCGCCTCATCAAAGGAGAGCAACTCGAAGGAGAGTAAGTCCTTTTTCTCTGCTGTCACACTGAATCAACCAATTTATCTATACAGCAAGTTTAAAAACAAGTGTTGATCAAAGTGCTTCACAAGGAGGATAAACATACAGTTAAAAACTTGAATGGAATAAAAAAGGCAAAAAAAATTGATTTACAATTTTAGAAATTCTTGATTTGATGTTTCAATTTTCATTGCTTATGTTTAATTATGATTTTCTGTTTCATTTTATTCTTTCCACCATTTTATACTGTTGATGATTGTACAGCACCTTGTGAATATATTTCTGTGAAAGGCGCTTCAAAAATAAAACTTTACTTACTTACTTACTTACTTACTTACTKACTTACTTACTAAAAAGAGATAAAAAACGCACAATTCCAAATTTCTTATGGAACTCAAACTGAACTTGAATTCAAAGGTGAGTTTTCAAGCAGGATTTAAAAGACTGCAGAGACTCTGTGATGGAGAAGTGATTGATCCAAACATGGGCAGAGACATCTGATTTAAAAGAAAGATAAATTTGAATATCGTCAGCATAACAACGAACACTGCACTTTTATCTTCTGCTCTATGATTAAACATTTATTTTTTCTCTTACCTATTTTAGTACCTACGGCTTTTACGCACTGGATAACCAGAACCTCCACCAGCTGTGGGACTGGTCCAAACACAATCTGACGATAGAACGTGGCCGCATGTTCTTCCACTTCAACTCCAAGCTTTGCATGGCGGAAATCACMAAAATGGAAGAGGTCACTGGAACCAAAGAGCGCAACCAGAAGAATGACATCGCTCTGCGCACCAATGGAGACCAAGCTTCCTGTAAGAGAACTGAACGAGCACGTTTAAAATATATTAGGGGCGTAACGATACATTTGTTCTTACCATGACATCGATGTTTGTGACGGGTACTGTGCATGAGCTAGTGTCGTTTGTTTTTTTTTCACACACACTGGCCACTTTRAATGCAATGAATTTACATTTTAAATACAAATTCTAACTGTTTTTATCAACAAATTCAAACTGCGTCCGAGTTAAAATAAAACTCCTCTGTGATCTTTTTGGATGTGAACAAAGACAGGTTCTGAGTATGTAGCTGTATTTGTTTCTTAGGTGAATCAAAGACTCTGAAAATCACCTCCGTCAAGACCTCACACAACATGATCATCCTGAGGTGGACCCCGTTCTGGCCGGCAGACTTCAGAGACCTGCTGGGGTTTATGGTCCTGTACAAAGAGGCGTAAGTTGGATTTCTGCTGATTTGTAATAAAATTTACTCACCAGACTTTGTCTTTTTGCTGCTTTTTAGACTTCTCAAAAGAACAGCCTGAGAAACATACAACAGCATCCCAGTTTGTAATTTTTTTGTTTTGTTTTCCCTGCAGTCCGTACAGGAACGTGACAGAGTTTGATGGACAGGACGCCTGTGGCTCAAACAGCTGGGTGATCGCCGATGTTGACCCGCCGCCTCGCCCGACTGATAACAAGAAGGTAGACGATCCGGCGTACCTGATCCGGCCGTTAAAACCCTGGACCCAGTATGCCATCATGGTCAAAACCCAGCTGTCTGCACCCGATGAGCGTCAAGTTTCTGGAGCCAAAAGTGAAATTATTTATGTTCGCACCAATGCTTTCAGTAAGTTAAACGCACTTTTTAAAATATTATTTTAGGGTCGACTTTTCTCATTCAGTTGTTGTTTCACTATTTCCTTTCTGCTCCTCCAGGGCCCTCCGTACCTCTGGACCCCATCTCATCCTCCAACTCCTCGTCTCAAATCATCCTGAAGTGGAAACCTCCAAACAGCCCGAATGGCAACATCACCCACTACCGGGTCATCTGTCGTAAGCAGCCAGAGGACAGCGACCTCTACAAGTTTGACTACTGCCTGCAGGGTCGGTATCTGAGRAGTTCTTTAGAACCAAACTTTGTCTGGATTTTCCCCTCATTTCAAACTCTCACCTGCAGGAATGAAGCCACCCAATCGAATCCCGACCTACCTGGACATCGAGGAGGAGCAGAAGTGGAACCACACGGATGACTCCACCTCGGAGGGCAAATGTTGCACCTGTCCCTTGACGAARGGGCAGATAGAGAAGGAGCAGCTGGAGATCGAATACCGCAAGACCTTTGAAGACTACCTCCATAACGAAGTGTTTGAGAGCAGGTAACCTACTGACACCTCTGTTCCACATTTGCACTCGTTTTGGCTACGAGACGCATTTCTTTCWTCTCTGTCTGCTTGACATCTTAGAGAAGCTACAACATTTATTTATTTCACCCCCAGCTACTAAAATGGATRTTATTTTGAGCATTTATGACAAAAGGCAGAGAATTCACAATAAGAAATCATCCAAATTCATATTAGAATTGTGCATCCGTGTTAAATCATTACAGGATCGGGTTTTGTTCCATATTTCCTGGATCTAAGCCAGTCGGAGTCTAAAGAATATATGAAGAATGATTTTGYGCTGGTTTTAAAAAGGTTTATATTTCACTGGAAATTTGCAGAAAATTTTCAGCCTTTGTAGGAGCAACATTTTGTCTTTGAGTGTCTGATCTTCAGCTAACCCCACAACACACACACACGTTTGTATTTCTATCCTTATTAGGACCGTTCAGTGACTTTCATTCATTTCCAGTCATTTCTATAGCCTAATCCTGACCCTTTACCCTAACCTCCAACCCAAAAAATGGACTGCCACCATATTAGGACCAATTTTTGGTCCCCATAAGGACCATTGGTCTTGACAAGGTAGGTGTGTATAACAGAAACGGTCCTAAAAGGGTAACAAATACAAGTACACTCACACACACACACACACACACACACACACACACACACACACACA